TTAAACTTGATGTTTTTATATTCAAGCTTTACGCATATTAAAAATTGCATTTATAGGCATGTTTTTCCAATAAGCCTAGGTTGGCGAGGAGTGTTGCCGCATGTGCCCAAACGCATGCAATAATGAGGGATGTTTTTACATAGTGAAAATAGCCATGAAAACATTTTCCTTGCATCATAAATGAAAGCACCAGTGGTTCCTTTTTAAACCTTGAATATGTATTTTAATTAGCTTTGGAAACCACAAGTGAATGTGTCATGCCATTTTTATAATGTTGCAAAGAATGAGCGACACAATTAATTGGAAAACTTGAAAATGCCCTATGAGTTGTCTGCAGAATAAGTTTAGCATTTTGGAAAGTTAGCTTGGAAGATATTTCAGAATGCTTGCAATGGAAAATTATTCCTCCTGTTATTATTCCTTATTTGTGTGTTGGAATACAGGCTTGCATTTTATTTGGAAGAGGCTTGTATTTGTGCATTGTTTATCTGAATGTAGGAATCTCGGCCATACTTCAGATGCCCACTCATAGCCTAAGCTGGTTGGGGGTATGGGGTTCAATCCTCCTTTAACTGACTTAACTCATCTGGGACCCGAAAGCACATGGTGCATCTCGAGTAATTAAGTTGCTGCCATGAAGAGAGTGCAAGAGCTTTCTGAGGGCTCTGGTTTCATTATACTATCCTCTCACCCCTCAAATCACTCCAGCGCACAAGGCAGAGTCTTAATAACACTTAATGCCAACTGCTGAATTCTGTATATAATTGCATGTAAATGCTGATATTGTACATTTTGTTTTAGTGTCACACTAAGTCTGACTGCTCAATTATTTGGAAATAATGGTGTTGTGGCCATGATGGGAAGTTAAATTATTTTCTAATAATTCTTTCTTTACTTTATATGTATGGACAACGGTCATTAATCAGCATTTCTGTAAATGTGTCAGTGTTAGCCAGCTAGTGTTAGCTGGCTGTTAGCCAATTTTAAGTTGCAATCCATTAGCAAGATGTTTAAAATAATCAAAGTATAACAACAGAAAACATCAGACAGCACATTAACACAATGACAACAGTCCGGAACAAAAATAAAAGGGCATTATAGACCATTATTAATACAATTGAGTTAAATTCAGTGGACTGGAGTCAATAATCCCACAAACTGAAATGAAGTGAGCCTTATCAAGTATGTAAGTAAGTAAGGTTACCCAAAGACTATACACAAGACATGTTACACTGTATAGTTTTAAAATGGGGAAAAGTCTATCAGTCAATCTAGTGAATGCAGCTCTGCCTTTTAGTACAGGAGCCAATCAATGATCGCTAAGTGAAGTTTATTTATAAACTAATTTCGAGAGGATCACGTGCTTGTGATTGTTCACAGCTGTTCCAACTTTAGCTCATGACTAATTATCCTATCAGATGATCCTTAACTCACTATAAATAACCAGACTTTTCTCATCTCAATATCTATCCTGAGCTCAAACTCTCCTATCGCCCTGCAACGTGAGGGAGCCCAGGGCTCGGATCTTATAAGCTCAGGGCTCTCTTCCGGGACAGCATGCCAAACAAGGTTTATAATCAATCATCAGCTAAGTGTAAACTCTTGAAAGACTGTCGATTCTCCAGGGGAGGTGGGCTCAGACCAGACGTGAATTTCTACAGATTGTGATTATGATTCGAACTTTTGAAATCGAGAAAGAGACAGTTGCTGTTTCATTTTACTGAAAATTGTTTGTTTGTTTGTTTGTGTGTTTGTTTGTATATTTTATTGTCCCTTAAGGGTAAAATTTCTGTGGTCTCACAGAGCACTTCCGCGAATTATGACACATCAAAAATTGTAAAATAAGCAAACATGTAAAGGGATTACCTACAAGAAAAAAACATATGCACACTATTGATCCATATTCCACAGTCTGATTGACACTGGGATAAAAGAGTTAAGTCTGTTCCGCTTCCAGTGGAAGGTTCTGTATCTTCTACCAGAAGGTGAAGGATCATAACATGGGAAGAGTATATGAGATGGATTGTTTAAAAGCCAAGTGTTTGAATACTAATAAAGTTTGTTAATCTTGTTAGTCTCATAGCAATTCTGATAATTATTTAAAAAAAAATGTATTTCAGATTTACAGAAAGATTACCATACCATGTAGATAGACCATACCTGATGACACTCAAATACAGCCTGATAAAATAAGTACATGATTATCTTGTCAGCACCAGAAGCATAGCCTTCGTAGAAAATAAAGTCTTTGAAGCTTTTCACAAATCCAATTTACATTAGTGTCCCATGTTAGAAACCTATCTATATATCTATGTAAGTTTGGCAAGCAATTTTGGAGAATTTGATCTTTCCCCATTCAAACAGAATGCCCGAGATGTGTTTCAAAGATGGCCACAGAGTGAAACGACTTGCCTTAAAGGAACTTTGGGCTACCGCACCTATAAAGACATTGTTCAGATGTTGTGCTTCAAGTTATTTGTGCATTTTCCCCTTAAACTGCTGCTGCTGTGTAGGAATAGTTTCTTAATCATCTCGTCTGAAGCCTTCTGTTTTTTTTCTATTTGAGTTTTGACCAGGAAAGTCAGTTTAAGGCTAGACATTTTGCTTGGCAGACGCCTTTTGAAGTGCTTCTCGATCATGCAAGTGCAGCTCCTGATTCTTTGAATGGGGAAACATCAAATTCTTCAAAACTAGAATTAGCTTATAAAAATTCATATTTGGAATCTTTGGTGTAACCTAAAAGCTGACTCATTAAATAAGGTTCTAAACATTGAAATCATTTTATTTGGTCATTTAGCAAATGCTTTTGTCCAAAGTGACTTTAAATTGAAGAGGCATTCAGCGATTCAACAGGAAGAGGCAATACACAATCCGTGCTAATAGTGGAACTGTTGAATCATGACATCAAATGAATTTTTTCAAGTTGACCCAGCTAATGCACACCTGAAGGGAATAAATTCATGTCTGCGTCCGAAATCGCATTCTTCTATACTAAAGTTATATAGTATGCTAAAAACAGTATGCGAGTCGAGTAGTCATGGAATTCATAGAATGCAAAAAGTACTCTGATGGCCTGCTACTTCCGTTGAGATTCTGATGTGAACATCCGATGCATGCTACGATATCACATCATGCACCATGAGAGAATTCATAAATGGGAGTAAAGCGGCGCAAATGACGTGGGTGGGTCATGTGAACATGACAAAAGGGCAGTTGTAGTACATCAGAGTTCCATTCTACTCGCATGCATACTCTATAGAACATTCTTTTCTTAAATTGAAATTCAAATGCAATACCTACTAAGTAGTAGGTGATTTCGGACGCAGCACATGACTTCTTATCTGGAGGATGCAATCATACAAAATCCTTTCAATCAAACTATGTAACTATCAATATTTTTCCTATCACACAATATCATCCTCTGTTTAGCGCAGTGTCTGATCGCACTGGTCTAAGATCATCTACAACTTATTCATGATGACAGACATGCGAGGCCTATTTTTGAGGGGCTGTCGCCTCAATATTTCTGCCCAGCTCCCCTAAAACTGTACGATTTGGCTCGTAAACTGTACACTAAATTATCTCCTCAATCCCATTTCAATTTGATATGAAAACAGAGGCAGAATTCAGCTCCTTCCCTCTTTTGTTTTTCATTTGATCGGCAAACCACAGCTGTGCAGAGTAAGAGGAAAATATGCGTGTTTATGGATAAATTGTTATTATATAATTATATTTGCTTATTTGCAGTTCTTTGCTATAGATGCACTTGTATAATTTGTAACCCAATGTCAGGAGCAATTGGGATTCCTTGATGTTCACCTCATCATCAAACAGCTGTTTCCTCAAGCGAAAAATGTAACTCTTAACAAACATTGCCATTATACCACACAGTCTTACGCAGGAAGGATTAAACGCAGTGACGGAACCACTTAGAGCAGGGGTGTCCAAATTCATTCCTGAAGGGCCAGTGTCCTTAAGAGTTTATCTTCAACCCTAATCAAACACACCTGAACCAGCTAATCAAACTTTTACTAGATATACTTCCTTGCAGGTGTGTTGGAGCTAAAATCAGAAGGACACCAGCCTTCCAGGATCGAGTTTGGACACCCTGACTTGGAGAGTGTACTCATTATAGCTGTCAGAGTCATTAACAGATGGAAACATCATGCATTGTCTTTTATTTTATTTTTTTCTTATTTAATAATCTGATTCTGATTGTAAAATATGAGTTTAAGTGGTTGCTGTCATGCGTTTAGCATTTGAATGGCAGAGCTGGGAATTCTGATGGGAATGACTCAAAAATATGAAGTTTTACATACAGATGAAGTCTGAGTTATTAGCCCTTCTGTATATATTTTTCCCCCAATTTCTGTTTAAAGGAAAGACATTTCCACAAATTTCTGAACATAATAGTTTAATAACTCATTTTTAATCATTGATTTTTTTTTATAATGACATAATGACAGTAAATAATATTTTACTAGATCCTTTTCAAGATACTAGTATTTAGCTTAGTGACATTTAAAGGCTTAACTAGGTTAATTTGGAAAGTTAGGATAAATTAGGCAGGTTATTAACAATGGTTTGTTCTTTAGACAATCAAAAACAAAATTGCTAAAGGGGGGCTAATAATATTGACTTTAAAAGGGTTTAAAAAAAATCAAAACTGCTTTTATTCTAGCTGAAATAAAACAGAAGACTTTCTCCAGAAGAAAAAATATTATCAGACATTCTGTGAAAATTTCCTTGCTCTGTTAAACATCATTTGGGAAATACTTGAAGAAGAAAACATTACAAATCCAGAGAACATATGTTTCAAGTGTAGTTGGTTTGCTTATTTCAAGAATTATGTAATTCTAGATATATTTTTAATTTCTGTGAAGCAAGTCGACAGTGAGATTCCAGCGCATTTGCTGACCCCAGAAGGTCAATGAAGCTGCGGAAACTTCAAAAAGAACGCGCATCTGTCTAACAAGCTACTGTTCTGTCTTTTACTGCAGATGTGGAACTGTCCGTGTGCAAGCATGCGGGGCCATCATGTTGTACACGAAGAATGGAAGACAGTTACAGAGCGGCGGTCCTGAGAGACACCACCCAGAACATCGGATCGTACAGCTATGAGCTCAAATTTCTCATTTCTGCACACGCCGCCGCCTTCCAGGGTACACAGATGCATGGATGATTGAATGGATGGTGGAAGGATGAAATGGATGATTGATAAGTGAAACGAATGGGCAAATAGATGAAGTTGATTGACGTGTGAATGAATATATGTTGATGTAACAACAGAGGCTCATTTAGGGCCCTGTGATTTACACAATGCTGACAAAACTGAGGAATCCAGACATAAATAGAATTTGGTGTATAACTGTGGCAGAAAATGCAAAAGATTGCATCATGGAGCCAGATCAATCTCAAAAATAATGCATTTATGATAAGCCAAAAGCGCAAAACCCAATTTCATTCATTTATTAATTTCCTTGTCAGCTTAGTCCCTTTATTAATCCGGGGTCGCCACCACAGAATGAACCGCCAACTTAACTAGCACATTTTTACGCAGTGGATGCCCTTCCAGAAGCAACCTATCTCTGGGAAACATCCACACACACATTCACACATACACACTCATACACTACTGACAATTTAGCCTACCCAATTCACCTGTACCACTTGTCTTTGGACCTACTGCGCCACTATGTTGCACAAAACCCAATTTGTAAATTGAAAACACAATTCATAAATGCACAAATCCAAAATACACACATCCAATTCATTGTTTTTCCTTTGGCTTAGTCACTTTACTCACCCGGGGTCGCCACAGTGGAATGAACCGCTAACTTATCTAGCATATGTTTTACACAGCGTATGCCCTTCCAGCTGCAACCCAGTACTGGGAAACACCCATTTACACTCATTCACACACTACGGACAATTTAGTTTATTCAATTCACCTATACTGCATATCTTTGGACTGTGGGGAAAAACTAAAACATCTGGAAGAAACCCACGTGAACACAGGGAGAACATGCAAACTCCACACAACTGACCCAGACTCTAACCAGTGACCTTCTTACTGTGAGGTGACAGTGCTAACTACTGAGCTAAAACACATTTCATAAATACACAAATACAATTCATAAATTTAAAATGCAATTCAAAAATCCACACATCCAATTTGTATTTCAAAACACATTTCATAAATACAAAAATTCCATTCATAAATTCAACACTTAATTCTTAATTACACAAATCCAATTTAAAAAATGAGTCTTAATGCCCCAGTAAAGTGACGGACAGTCAGTAAGCACCATCTTTATGATTAGACGTTAAAATCGGGTCCTGACTTTCTGTGCTCATTAAAAATCTAATGGCACTTGTAAAGAGTAGGATGTAACCCCGTTGTCCTGGCCAAATTTCCTACATAGGGCCTTACCCATCATGGCCTTTAAATCATCCCCATCCACTGAATTGGCTCTATCACTGTCTCTCCACTCCCCCTATAGCTGGTGTGTGGTGAGTGCACTGGCACCATTGTCCTGTGGCTGGTGTCACATCATCCAAGTGGATGCTACACACTGGTGGTAGTGTGGAGAGACCCCCCCCCACCATTATTGTGAAGCGCTTTGGGTGTGTGACCATACACAAATGCGCTACATAATTACACATTAAATTTTATTTATGACGCACTTTAAACTCAAAACAATATCATGTATACAAATAAAAATCATAATACAACCAAAAACAAAATAAAAAAACTTGCTTAAAATAGCAGTAATAAACCACACCACAATAATCAGAAATAAATAAATAAATAAATAAATAAATAAATGGCAAAACAATGGCAGTGGTACATCGCAAATTTAAGTCTTAAGTAGTTTTTTAAAGAAAATATATTATAATACACAGTTTAATATAATACAGTACGTATTATGTTATCCTTTTAATGTAGTTAATAATACAGTACATTTGTAACATTTATTAAAAGTTGTAAATACTGTACAATATACAGTACTACACTTTACATAAAGTCAATAAACACTAGAGTATTTACTATAAATGCTATAGTATTTATTCACGTGGAAGTTTTTCTTTCTAAGAGTATGTTTCTCTGGTTGTATGGGATCATGAATTCTCCTCTCATTGGCTTGATTAAACTCTTAGATTCATCTTCTTCTGGAACGTCTGAACATTCAGAATCGTTTAGTCTTAATTACGTTCATTTATGCTCTATGAAGTCTACTTCTATGAGGTTTGCTTGGCTTTTCCTGCATTAATTCCTTAGAAGGGGAATTCAGAGGACTTGCCCGCACTCTCACGAGTGTCTAACCCAGTGGCCAAACCATAATCGGCAGTGAGGCTTTAAAGAATCTCAGTCGTATGCAGGCTTGTGTGTGCTTTGGCAGAGTCCGCCGGTTGTTATTAAGGTCTTCTGTCAGTTCATTCATGACCATCAAGCACTGGTGTGAATGAAAGAGCTCTCACATGCGCTAGTTCAGTTACGATACGCTCGTTTTAACATGATCTGCGGCCACAGTAACCCCGCAGAAATGGACACAGTTTCTGCACCTCACAAGTAGGGCGCAAACCACATGCATAGTTTTTGGTTATGCTCTTCAATCATGCCTTTGTCTTTCGCAGCATGCTTTGCGTCCTCAAGACATCGCGGATTGTTCAGCGCATTCCACAGAAATCTTTCTAACATTTGTGTCTCGGATGTGGAGAAATGCGCAGAATGTTTCGTCGCCGACAGGTCACATGCAGCAATCAGGAATGTGCAAACAATGAAGGCGATTGCCTTTTACGGCTGCTTGTGTGTGTGTGTGTGTGTGTGTGCGCGTGTGTGTGTGTGTGTGTGTGGCGTCTGTGTTTGAAAGACTGTGGAAATCCATAGTCTCTGTGTTGATTTATAGATGGGTCAGTTTGTGAGGAAGATTGATTGTGTGTATAATATACAAAAGTGTAGGGGAATAACATTTAAAAAGATGTTTCCTTTTTCCTTTTTGTTTTGTTTGCGATTTTTAAATTAGGCTTAAACATTCAAGAATGAGATTAGGGCTTTTTCTTTATGTGGTTTCAGATCTGTCAGGCTCAATTTGTATGCCCTCATACGCTGTTAAATGTTTTTATCTTGTCTATGAACAAAGAAAAGGTCTGGATACTGGGATGTATAATATAATCTTGTTAGAATATTTTAATTTCTTTGTAAAAAAAACAACAAAAAAATGTTTTAAATGTCTTTTAAGAGCTAAACAAGTTTTGGTCTACAAAAGCTTGTTCTATTACAAATCTTAACATTTTCTACAAAAATAATGCAAATTTAAAGCACAGGGTGTAATTTTTACCACTAGAGGGAGTGTATTTACAACAAACATGCGTAGTTTGAGAATCATGGGAGTTGTGGACTTTCTTACATCCTACAGGACACCAGCAGAAATCCTGCTCATGAATGAGCTGTAGTATTCAACACTTATTTTCATGGTAGTGTAGAGCAGAGTAAGGCTGAAAGCAATTGAAGTGCATTTCTGTGTGGAGTTTGCATGTTGGCGCCGATTGCTTTAGCAAAATATAGAACACTGTTGTACTGCTTGTTTTTTTTTTTATAAAGACATTTCAAGAAAGAAATTACTTTCCAATGTGTAAATATAATGAAAATGTCATATAATTTGATGTGACCTTAAAGGCATAGAGCACCAGGATGACAAGCTGACAAAACACTGCTGTCACTCTGATACAAGTTTTATTCATGGAGAAAGTTTACAAAGCACTTGTATTTGCTTATATTGTCAAAAGTATTTGTCTAAGATAATTAGTCTAGTCTACCAAAATGTGTATATTCCATACTAAGTATGAAGCTGATCTATTAGTTGTTACGTGACTCACTGTGCGCTTGACTGTGCAAGCCGCACTCCTCCATTGAACTTTAGAAAAGCGATTAGGGGAACAGCCCCTAAAAAACCGCCATCATTTGTGATCTCCAGTAGTTGATCTTGCACAGACATGGTGGATTCACCTGATGTGTTGACATATGGGTTGTAGATCCATTCCTTGGCAGTTTACAGGTCCTTCACTGGACCTTTTCCCCTTAGAAAGAAACTTTTCAAAGACGTCTGTTTCTTCTCTGTTCCTGTTTCTTACTCATTTTGCTGATTGTGGGCGCTCAAATGACCGGACATTATTCAAAAGAGGATGTTTTTTTAAATTAAAGATCGTTCAGACTCTGATATTAAATAAAGCAGAAATAATTAATGATTTCTTTTGCGGCTTGATTCTAATTGATCCACATACCATTTGAGAACCACTGCTCTATAGCATACAATATGTCCTGTATTAAATTAAATTAGACCATTAGTGTCTAGCTAAAAAATTTAGCTATTTTCTAGGCTGATATGAGTAAGAACTATACATTTATTCTGCCGTAATAATCAAGGAACTTTGCTGCTGTATGATGGCTCAATCATATTACGCAGCACCTGAAAATAGTCCCCAGCTAGGTAACAGCACTGCATGATATCATTACACCTGCTGCAGCCATGGTATGGCTGTATAATTCTTAGTCATATTGACCTAGAAAATAGCTGCATTTTTTTTTAGCTAGATGCTAATGATCTAATCCAAATCAATGATTTATGCTAAGCTAAGCTAAAAGTGCTCTTGCTAGCACTTTTCAGATCGACTGTCTGGATTCAAAAATGGTAAAAATCAGCTGTTTAACTGAAAAAAGTTCAGTAACTAAAGGTGTTACTTTGACTTTTGACCAAATCCGATACTGAAACCTTTTTAAAATTTAGTGTTATTTGGTACTTCAGAAACTACTTTGCATTGTGCAGTACAAAAAAAGTCAGATCTGGCATGGCATGAGGGAGACAGCAGATGATAGAATTATACTTTTTGCCTGGACTGTCCCTTTAAGACGAAAGTAAACTGTACGTTTAATATGTTTTGAGATGGAGGAGACTGAGAGACCTATGTCTATTGTGCTTTCTCCATCATGGTTTAATAATTACCCTTTGGCACACAGACATCATATCTGAGTTTGTGTAAATCCTAATTAAAATAATGATTTGAAGAGTATAGTCAGAAGGCTTGCGTGCTTGTTTGGGTTTCTGTGAGTCTGTCTCTTCTCATTTGTCTCAGGAAGTTCAGCAGACAGTTGATTCTACTT